ACGTTAAGAACTTACCTTTCAGTAGTTCCTAGATGTTTTCTGTGAAAGTATATGCTGTATACACAGTCAAAGAGCAAGCATTTGTCTGTCTTCCATAAACTAGACATGCCACATCTGAGCTCCGCTATTCTTGTGAATACAATTACTGGCTCACAGCTGTGCTGTGCCTACCATAACCTGTGAAATCACCAGGTGATGACAACAGAAAAATACACATTATTCCCTTCCCCCCTTATCTCTGCTGGGAAACTAAAGAATGCATGGGGGCACCAGCAATACAGCTGCAGCAAGGGGATCCCGGTAGACAAGGCTCAGAGCACATTAAATACAGACATCAAATGCCCCCAGGGAAGATCTCAGGAAAGCCCTTGGCATTTCTGAGTCTCTTCTCTAGAAAACAGGCAGGGAATGGGGCAAGTGCTTGTGACCAGAGACAATTAAAAAAACATGGAAGGGAAGGGAGCCCCTCACCTCCCATCTAGTGGAAGTCCTTTATCTACTAATAGTCAAACTTTTTGTTTGTTTTGTTTTTTATTTTTCGAGACAGGCTTCTCTGTATTGTTTTGGAGGCTGTCCTGGAACTCACTCTGTAGACCAGGCTGGCCTCGAACTCACAGAGATCCGCCAGCCTCTGCCTCCCGGGTGCTGGGATTAAAGGCGTGGGCCACCAACACCTGGCTAATAGTCAAACTTTTTCAGATAGCTGTGAAGTCTACATATTTTGAAACAATAGTCCTTTTTAACAGTACACATTTCAAATAAGAATGTTCAAGTAGAGGCTGGGGAGCAGGTACACTTGCTGCTCTTGCAGAGAAACTGGGTTTGGTTCCCAGCACACACATGGTGGCTAACAATCATTTGTGACTCCAGTTCCAGTGGCTCCCACCCCCTGTGGGTCTTCGTGAGCACTACACACATGGCACACCAACATATATGCAAGCAAAACACTCATGCACATAAAATAAAGATAAATCTTAAAGAAAACCAGAACATTAGGGGCTGAAGCTATAGTTCCAGAAGAACCGAGGCCAGCAGCTCTGAGAGATCTAGCACCTCTGCTCTCCTCAGCACCTGCGCTCACATGCAGACACTCATAATTAAAAACAATAAAAAGTAAAAATTCAACTCATTTTACCAAACAAATGATAATTTTATGTTAAAAAGGTGTTGAAACAAGGGGTCGTGTTTAAGACCAAAGCATGTGGCGTTGAGTTTAACTTTCTTTCTGTCTCAGACATAAAACTGTAGATTGTCACAACAGGATTCAAAACCGTGTTTACAGTCAAGTCTCAATTTTGTGACCTAGCCGGGCGTTGGTGGCACACGCCTTTAATCCCAGCACTCGGGAGGCAGAGGCAGGCGGATCTCTGTGAGTTCGAGGCCAGCCTGGTCTACAGAGTGAGTTCCAGGACAGCCTCCAAAGCCACAAAGAAACCCTGTCTCGAAAAACTAAAAAACAAAAAACAAAAATCAATTTTGTGACCTACACTCCTTTGACCCTTTTAACCTGTGTTTTTATCTTATCACCCTGACACAGTGTCAAGCATACCTCAGAAATTGCTGTATTACTCCATGATCTTATTTATTAAAAACAAAACAAAACAAAAACAAACCCAGGAGGATGAGAGAGGTGTACTGCACGAGTTTGAGGCCAGCCTGAGCTAGAGTAAGACTCTAAGAAAAACACAAACAAAAAAATCCCAGAATAAAGCAACTTCAGACGGCACCTAAATCAGACACGGTTAAGACATTCCAAAGGCAGTCTCCTGGAGGAAGCCCACACCCACACAGGAGTGTATGTATGACAGCCTTTCTGAAGCACCTTTCTGTTTCCCTTAAGGCCTGTGCTTCTTTGTTAAAAAACCTTCCTTGTCAGAGACAAGAGAATCAAAGGTTAAAGATCAAACTTGACTACCCATCATGTTGATGAGTAACCTAAGCTATATTAGACCCTGCCTTAGAAATAAAGAAAATAAGCAAGCCAATAGTTAAGTCTTAATGAATCCCACCTCTGCTCTAGGCTCACTGGTCCTAAAATTCTCTTCTTCAGTGCCAAGTGTCTCAGCACCACCTCAGCAAAGGTCTCTGAAAAGACTCCTCAAGCATCTCCCAGTCCCTGTTCAGCGTCCAAAAGGCTAAGGCAGGGGAATGCAGATGTGAAGGCTAGCTTGGACAACTCAGCTTAGTAAAAACAACAAACAAAACAACATTCCTTAAAAGCAAAAAGAACATAAATACCACAGTACTAACATGGCTCAAAAGCAGAAGAAACACACAAAGTATGTTGCTGAGACAAAGAAGCAAACTTACATCAAAGAACAGGAAACTGCGGACACAGGCAGCCAGCAAAACACCTTAAAGCACAAGGCTCAGGACACCTGCAGGTCAGACAGCCAGGGCAGGCAGAGGTCCTCATCACTGCTCAGTGCCTCCTCTGTAGGAAGACAGGCTGGGGCTCTGCCACTGAAAAAAAGTAAGCTCGTCAGAAATGCAGAGAGCTAATGAACTTGGGATGGTAGCTCACACTTACAATCCCAGCACGTGGGAAACTGAGGCAGGAAGAATGACAAGAGCTGCAGACTACCCTGAGCTACAGAGTGAGACCCTATTGGAATGAGGGGTAAAAATGGCTAGCTGGTGTCTTTAAGCAACCTATCTTAGGAGGAAAGTCCTGACAGCTGTGTACAAAACAGTTTGGGAAAGAGGAAGAAAAATCATTAGAACAAGGAATCAGTGACAAAAATGCCAAGAAGAAGCTATCTGGGCTTGACCTGGGACTGTGAAATTGAGTGGAAAGGTCGAGCAAAGGCCAACTATCTGCACTTGTCAGCATGACGGGAAGCCCCTGAGGAAGAAGAGGAATTAGCACCAAGCTTCCAAGGCTTGATGACACAGAGCAAGGATCAGAGGTGGTTTTGGTTTTAGAGATGTCACATTCCAGGGAACGCTGAGGGAAATGACTTCACATTGGAACCCAGGTCTAGGACAGAAACCGAAAAGACATGTGGGAATTGCAGTTCAAGTTACACGGTGCAGAGGAGATTTAAGTAATGAAGGCAGAACAGGTGCCGAGAACAAACACTGAACTTGGGGACACTGTGAACTCTGGAGGAAAAGGACCTATGAGAGACCTCAGGAGGGTCCCAAGAAACATAGAGGATGTGCTGACAAGCAATATGAATCGTCATGGAGATTAAATGCGGGCCAGGCTGGAGAGATGGCTCAGTGGTTAAGAGCACTCACCGCGTGCTCTTCCTGAGGATTCTGGTTCAATTCCCAGCACCCACACAGAAGCTCACAACGGCCTGTAATTCCAGCCACAGGGGATCTGGACCCTACAGACGCGTCATGCACATGCTACACAGACATACATGCAGGCAAAGTACACATAAAATAAAAGTTGACTAATTAAAAAAAAAAAGGTTACGGGGGCCAAGCCAGGTGAGTGTTGAGAAGGAGCTGTCAGTACAGGTAGAAAACGGTGTTTAAAGCCGGGGCTTTCCAAATGTGAGCTGAGCAATTCAAACCTAACATATACATTCCAGAAAGCAGAGACCATATTCATCAGGGTTCTCAAGAGTAACAAAACGTATAGAACGGATCTCTTTATATATAAAGAAATGGAATTTATCAGAATGTCTTACAGGCTGTAATTCTGCTAGTCCAACAATGGCTGCCCACCACTGGAAAGTCCAAGAATCCAGTAGTTGTTCACTCTACAAGGCTGGATGTCTCCGCTGGCCTCCAGTACACCGGAATTCAGAAGAAGCAGGCTCTAATGCTAATGAAGGCATGGACTGCCTAGCAGGGCGAGCACAAGCAGGCAGAGAGAGGCTTCCTTCTCCCCCGTCCTTTGATTGGATGCCAGCAGGAGGTGTGGCCCGGATTAAAGGTGGCTCCCCCACCCCAAAATATCTGAATTAAAGGTGTATGTGTGTTCCCTCTTCTTCAAAGAGCCAAATAATTTAAGAAAATCTCTCACAGGTGTGCCCGGCCATTTTTTGGGGGGAGGGGGTTAGTTAATTCCAGACGTAGTCAGGTTGGCAACCAAGAAAAGTCATCTCAGAGACTCAAATAAATGTAAAAGATGGGTGAAAGAGAAGACACAGGTAGATTCTCAGAGACGGGAGGGGCAGAGGGGCAGCAGTCCCTGCCCTAGGGGTACAGTAAACTCTATTTTGGTGGGGCACAGATTGAACAGCATCCCCCAAAGCTCATTTTATGTCCGAAGATAAGCAACCAGCCAAGCTGACCGTGATCACGGCTCTCATAAACTAAAAGGACTAGACCAGGTCTTTGATGGGACATGAAGCTAGCCCACCACAAGCATGCTAATCCTGATGAAGAACAGAGCTAACAGACAGGGGCAGGCAGGGCTTGCTGTTGGGTGTAAGGAAACTATACATTTTGTTATAAACAAGCCATATGGGGGGAGAAATTGGTGAGCGAGCAAACAAGCCTCCTGTCTGTCTTCCAGCCTCACGTGTGGATGGTGTCTAAATGCTGACCCGCACAGACCGACCAGCATCAACAATGACCAAAAAGAAAAACAAGTCCACATTTTCCTGGCAAATCACAGCACTGGAAGCTATGGCCACCGACAACTTGCCCCTCCTCCCCACCGCGTGCAGGGCCCATCGCCGCTGCGGAAGCCGGAAGCCACTCGGGCCTCACAGGCCACCGGGCCTGGGACCACAACAGGCGCAGCGCTCCAGGCCGCGGCCCACGCTCAAGGCACCGAAGGAGGCCGCGCGAGGCCAGGCGCCTCGGGTCCGCTACTCACCGCAACACCCGCAGCCCGGGATAGCGGCGCTCCGGGGCGCGGGCTGTGGCATCTTCGCTTCCGCCGCAGCCCGGGTCGAGCCGCAGGGAACAGGACTTGCAACCTGCGGAGCCCGGCGCCGCGGCTCCTGTGGCTGCGCCCCCGCCCCCGCCCCCGCCCCGCCCCGCCCCCGAGGATGACGTCACGGACCGCGGGCAGGCGTCACGCGGGCCCCGCCAAACCGAGCTCTGCTTTCCAGGGCCTTGGCGAAAGTCTACCGTTAGCGAAGTCTACGGTTGCTCAGGGCAGAAATGTAGATGAGGAGGAGGGGACGACGAGTTGTTCTCAGGAAGGGAGGAAGGCACAAGTTGGCTAGAGAGAATCTGTCTGCTCTAACACAATGGTAAGGGTTTTGGCCTTTGGTCCAGCAATGCTGCTTTACATCGACGAATAATCTGAATATTTAATCCTGTCACCTCTGAAATGAATGCTATTCGGTCAAGACCTTAAATTTTTTTTTCGTGATGTCTGGCAGAGGAACCGGGACACATTGTAGGGAGGGAATTCTGCATCCCTTATTACTAAGAAAACAGCATCACCTGAACCAAACCAATAGATCGTTCTAGCTAACATTAGCCCAGAATACATTCCCTCTTCATTAACCGACTGCGGTGGCTTATAGTGCCCCCCACAGGCTTATGTGCAGAGCTTGGTGCCATTGGTGGTGCAAGTCCCAAAGGCTCTGGAACCTTCAGGAGGCGGGGACAATCTGGAGGGAGGAGGATGTGGGGGTGCCCCTTTGAGGATCTTACCTAGCCCAGAGGTCCAAGTCTCCTCTGAACTTCCTGTCCATCACAAAGTAAATAACTTACCCACACACTACTGTCATCCTGATGTCTGTCCAAGTGCAGTGAGCAAGCAATCATCCAGTGGACCCACAGCAACTATGAGCCAAAACTTTTCCCTTTAAGTTGTGCTCACAGTGGCACAAAGTTAACCCATTCGTGGTCCTGCCAAATATCTACTAGTATTGTCAGGGTTTGGGATGTTATGTTATGCTACCTAGGTCTCTCCACAAGTCTGAGGTCCTGATGACACTTCCCTGTGTCTTCCCATGGCCTTCAAGCAGTTGCTGTCCAATGCCAAAAAGGGTATGTTTCATAGTTTCCATCCTTATGTGTGGTTTATTTTTCGAGACAGGGTTTCTCTATTTAGCCCTAGCTGTCCTGGAACTAGCTAGCTCAAGTAGACCAGGCTGGCCTTGAACTCACAGAGATCCACCTGCCTCTGCCTCCGGAGTGCTGGGATTAAAGGTGTGCGCCACCACTGCCAGGCTCATAGTTTCCATTCTTGTCCACACAGCAACTCATCTTAAGTGGAACTAGTAGTTATTTCAGGGATGGCTCTCTCTTGCAAGGGCAATAGCACAGCCTGTATCTGTGCGCATAGCAATGTGTGTGTTACCTTTCTTGTTTTGCAACAATGTACCTGAAAAAAGCAATTTAAGGGCTTATGTGGGCACACAGTTTAAGGTACAGCCTCCATTTTGGTGGATAAGCCATGGCAGCCAAAGTATAAAGCAGCTTGGTACATTGCATCCTTAGGAGGCAGAGAGGCTGATGCACATTGTTCTTTCTTTTTTTCCCCCTTTATATTTAATCCGGTCCCTCCTTCATGGGTTATGGCCACCACCTTCCTGGTGGGTTTTCCCTACACAATCTCAGAGACATGCCCAGAAGAGGTGTCTCATAGGTGACCCCAAATCCTGTCAAATAATGAAGATTATTAACCATTTCATCTAGTATCCCTAAGTGGGTGAGGCTTACAAAATATAGGACAGCGAATCAGCATTCTGATGCTCAGTCCTGCTGGCGGCCCCTGAGAAACTTCACGGCGGTGATGAGGAAACTGGACAGGCTGTGTTTGCATAGGCTAAGGTTGGCCACCCTCTCAGACCCCGCCCCCTTTTGTGTCCTTTCAGTGTGCTTCCTCCCTTGCTTTCTTTGTAGACTTTGTGAATTCCTCCTCTTTGACCTTCTTAAACTCAACAGGGTGAACCTTACAGCATTCCTCACACCCCCAGAGAAGTACTTCAGGAGCTAAGGAGTCTCTGGGTATGGCAGGCAGAGTCAGCTGATCTGTCCCAACCCCATATACACAAACAACAAGGCATAATTCAAGAAGCATCAGGGGAGCCGTGGGTCACAGGACAGAGGACAGAGGGAGGGCACAGACATGAAAATAGAAGCAGAAAGGCCATCAGGAACATATGAGGAACCTGCATGGACATCTTAAACCAAGGTGACAAGGTGACTGACTTGGACATCAGACTCTTAGGAACCCAACCAAGCCAGGAGGCAGCCCCAGGTTGCAAGAAAGGAGCTTGTTCTAACTCAACCACTGTACACGTGTCATGGCTCTCTGTGAACATTTTCCTAAGGCAATCATTTCAGCCCATCAGATCGGTGAAGGCTCCCAGAACAGAGCAGGCCCTAAGCGGCCGTCACAGCCAAGTGAATTGGTCAAATAATCACAGCATGTATTTTATCTGGGTCAATCATATCCCAGCAACTGAACCATGAGAGAACTTACATTTCTAATGTCAAGGTCCTTATCCCCAGAACTTCAGTGGCAGTTGAGCAACAAGGGAAGAAATTGTCACTAGAGGTAGAGAAAAGCACTCCTGAGAGATTGGCCACTCTGATTGTATTTCTTGTTGCATTTCACATAATTCCATGGTGCTCCAAACTTGTCCTGTGGTGCCAATATGTTGAAGAACTAGGGGACTTTTTCACCCTTTATTAGTGAAATTGATTCCATTCCTTTTCATCAGGGTATATAAATGGCTCCAACTCTGGAAAGACATTATCCAAATACCACTGGAATGACTTGCAACCCAGTCATTTCCTTAATTCAACACGCTCACTAATGTTTCCATAGGGTACATATTTCAAAGATGGTCTTTGAAGAAAAAAATTATCCTAGATGAAAACAAACAGTCATTTTATTAAGCCAAAAAAATGTAGGTAATCAAGACATGTTTTCATCATTGGAACAAAAATGTCCTTTCCTCTTGCTGTGCAGCACTTTTCTGTGAGATTAAAACCTTCCATCTTCTAGGAAAGCCTGGTAAAACACAGGATGTTAAAAAGGAGGTGATAGCCGGGCGTTGGTGGCACACGCCTTTAATCCCAGCACTCGGGAGGCAGAGGCCGGCGGATCTCTGTGAGTTCGAGACCAGCCTGGACTACCAAGCGAGTTCCAGGACAGCCTCCAAAGCCACAGAGAAACCCTGTCTCGAAAAAACCAAAAAAAAAAAAAAAAAAAAAAAAAAGGAGGTGATATTTTAAGATGTGTTTTTAAAACGGTGTAGAACGGGACGTTCTAAAGAGAAGTAAAGGCTCATTAAGCCCATGAACTAAACAGTTCAGTGGCTTCAGGAAATTCCTGAAAATGACCAGATATACTAGGCCCTTCCGTCCTCAAACATGTGTGTGTATGTGTGTGTGTATGTATGAACACATATATGCTATAAAGACTGCGGAGGCTCTCAGGCAAGCTGAGCTTCCTAGGAGAGGCTCAAACCAGCCTAGAAGCCTGGAAGAAGGCGAGAACAGCAAACTGCCTGAAAGAGGCTCTGAACTCCCTGGAAAAGACTCTTCAACAGTTTGAGCCCCCTGGAGGCTATTCCGTATGCTCTAGGTTCCTAGCTTTCACAAGCTGTCACCCATGCTGGGATGGACTTTATAAAAATTAAATTTTATTTATGTATGTATGTCAGCATGAGGGTTTGTACATGTGAGTGCCCTAGCTGTAGAGGCCAGATGAAGGTTTCATATCTCCTAGTCCTATACAGACAGTTATGAGCTGCCCGATGTGGGTGCTGGTAAATGAAGTTAGCACTTCTGGAAGGGCAGCAAGGGCTCTTAACTACTGAGTCTTTTCTCCACACCCAGGAGGCGAGACTTTTGGCGATTCAGTTTTCTTTAAATCATTTCTGCTCCTGTAAGTAACCCCTCACCCATATTCCTGCAAGTAACCCCAATAAAGCTCATTTGTTCACCAAATTTAACTTTGGTGATACACATGTTGTTTGTTTGTTTGTTTGTTTGTTTGTTTGAGACAGGGTTTCTCTGTAGCTTTGGAGGCTGTCCTGGAACTAACTAGCTCTTGTAGACGAGGCTGGTCCCGAACTCACAGAGATACACTACTTTTCTCTGTCATTGGTTCCCTATCTTGGGTGAGTAGATTTCATACTCCTCAGGAATAGTGACACATTAACACCTCTGCGCAGGGAATGAGAGAGAGCGTTTGACATCTGCTTTGATACCAGTTCATCACCATTGTGTCCACCACAACACCATAATGACCAACACAGTGGAACCCAGGAAAACTTATGTCCTGATTCTCAGGAGACCCAAAGTCACAGTTTCCCATCCCAGTGGTTTCTTTCTCCCATACGCAAAGCCTAAGCTCCTTATTTCCTGATCTCCAACAATATCCCTATACTTCCAGAACAAGTGTGGTGTAACAAAATCAAAAGGACTCTCGAGCTAAACAGTTTTGCGCTCATTCCTGGCTTTGCTATCGATTTCCTATTACTATGGGCAAGTGTCTTCATGAGGTCAGTATGAAGATTGGGCACTTACAATGTAAGCAAAGCCTACGAGAAAGCAGGCTGGTGTGCAGTGTTAGGGTGCATGGGTCCTTTCTTGCACCACAGATGTTTAGTTTTTATTTTGTCTTGTTTTTCACGACAGGGTCTCATGTATCCTTGAACCCATTATAGGGAAGAGGCTAGCCTTGAACTTCTAATCCATCTCTATCTCCAGAATGCTAGAATTATAGGTGTGTGCCACCATACCCAGTTTATGACATGTTGGGGATGGAACCCATGGCTTCATGGATGCTAACAGAGCTCCATCCAGTTAGCATCCATGTTTTTGTTTGTTTCTTTGTTTGTTTAAAGTGTTCTGAAATAAGTGGTAAGGATGAGTATCAGATTCCTTGTTCCTGTGGTAAAGAGGCATTCTACAAACTAGGTGGTGATGGCACATACATTTAATCCCAGCACGTGGAGGCAGAGGCACGTGGGTCTCTGTGAGTTCGAGGCCAGCCTGGTCTACAAAGGGTGAAAGGGCATTTCAGGGCAGTTACACAGAGAAACTCTTTCTTGAAAAACAAGAAAACAAAAAGAAAAAGAAAAGAAAAAAAGAGGCATTCTAAACAGACCAGGGTTCTCTGAATTCAGAACCCTTGTGTTTTCATCTGTGTATTTCCAGTGCTGCCAAGTAGGATAGCAACATTGCTAAATGGGAGAGGGGGTTTGCTTCTCCAAATGAGTGTGTTATGTGTATGTTATATTGGATTTTTCTTGAAGATTCTTAAGTATTGTAAGCTTTGGCCACTGCTTCCCAGGGTGGGTTGTTAAAGACAGGATGATTCCATCAGCTTGGAGGCGTGAAGGCCTGGATTACCTTGGGAAACATTTCTCCATTGCAAAGCCTTTTATTGTACCATACCACTAATCAAATTTTCCAACATGTAGTTTCATACAGTCTGTTGGTTTTACATGTAACTTTTCAGATATGATCTTAGCCGGGTGGTGGTGGTGCATCCCTTTAATCCCAGCACTCTGGAGGCAGACGCAGATGGATCTCTGTGAGTTCGAGGCCAGCCTGGTCTATAAGAGCGAGTTCCAGGACAGCCTCCAAAAGTCACAGAGAAACCCTGTCTCAAAACAAAACAAAACAAAACAAAACAAAAAAAACAAAAAACAACTGAAAGACCCCTATCCAGGACCCCCTAGGAAAAGAAAAGCAAGGCCAGGCCGTTGCCTAATGAAAAACACCCAGACCAGGTGCCTCGCCCAGCTGGAAGGATGTCAAACAGGATCTGTGGTCACCAGAGCAGTCATAGGACCCGGATAATAATTACTGAAGCGTGCCAGGGTCTTTTATGTGGCAATACCAGGACACCTAGTCCTTGGCAACTACCCCCTGCCCCCAGTTGTGTCTATGATCCCCATAGTAGTCATGGGACCCAGATAATAATTGCTGAAGTGTGCCGGGGTCTTTCATGAGGTAATACCAGGAAACAGTCTGTGGGAACTACCCCTGCCCCCAAGATGAGCCAATGAAATGCCTGTTGCTATGCTGATACTTATGTAACCATTAAAACTCTATAAATATTGTGCTCCCTGCAAGTCCGGTATGCTCTTCACCCGAGTTGCAGTAGCATCCGTAGGCGCCTGTGTACTCAATAAATCACCTCTTGCATTTGCAGCCAGTGGTCTGGCCCCGGTTCTTGGGCAGAGGGTTTGGTTCAGTGCCCGGCGCTTTGATGCCAAGGTTTTTCACAACAACAACAACAAAAAATCAAGCAATCAAACAAAACCAGATCTGATCTTAGCCTGCACCTAAAACAGTTCTCAAAACTCATAAGTCTTCTGCCTCAGCCTCCCATGTGCTGTCATTACAAGTATGTGCATCACTCTTGGTTCACATTATGTGTTTTTTATATCCTTTATGAAACTTAGTCACTCAGTAATTGTAATGTTCAATTCAACTGCTTAGATCCATGACTAGAATTCACAGCCGTGGGAGAAAGGAAACATCAGCACTACAAACATAAATTCAAGATCACTCATAAAAAGTCTGGTTTAGGGCTAGTGAGATGGCTAAGCAGGCAAAGACACTTGCCACCCGGCCTGATGAGCTGAGTTCAGTCTCCCAGGACCCGTATGGTGGAAGAAGAGAGCTGACTCGAAAGCTGTCTGTTGACCTCCACATGTACACGTGCAGGTATGCTCACATACAAGAAATTAATAAATATAGAAGACATACATAATTTGAACATATTACTTTAATGTGTTAGATTAGGAGAAATACACAGCTTAATTATATCTAATATACGGAGACCTTTTTATATACCTACAGTGACAATGTGGATCACTAACATGGACAGTGAGGGACAGTTTGGATGTTGCCCATCAGTATTTAATAATGGGTTAGCTCACCCCCCAGAAACTCCATGTCTTGATATTTATTCCAAATATAAATGTACAAATATAAACAAAGATATGTGTAAAGATGTGCATTTCAGTGTTGAGCACAAAATAAATAATAGAACCCAACTCTCAAGGTAATCAGAGTGTTTATCACCAATGACTGTTTAAGTTGTGTCAGCTCTGTCGGGCCTGTTCCCCCATCCAAAGGGACTCTTCAGGGGAAAGGTACTTGGGATTGTAGAGAATACTTAGCAGTTAAGAGCACTGACTACTACTGCAGAGAATGCAGATTCAATTCCCAGCACTCACATGGGGGCTCACAACTATCTATAACTTTAGTTTCAGGTGATCTGTTGCCTTCTCCTGTCACCAGGAACATAAGTGATACACAAATATTCATGCAGGCAAAACACCCATAAAATAAAAATAAATCTTTTTAAAGAAGAAAGGTTTTCATTTTCAGGGGTAATTTGTAAATATGTTTTTAAAATTCAGCAATAAGCCAGGCAGTTGTGGCGCATGCCTTTAATCCCAGCACTCGGGAGGCAGAGGCAGGCGGATCTCTGTGAGTTCGAGGCCAGGCTGGACCGACAGCCTCCAAAACAATACAGAGAAACCCTGTCTCGTAAAAAAACAAAACAAAACAAAAATTCAGCAATAAATGCAAAGGTTTAAGGATAAAACACTTTGTTGTACAGTCACATGAATGAATCTGGGCCTTGTGGCACAAGTCTCTATTCCCAGCACTGGAGAAATAGAGATAGCAGGGTCACAAGTTCAGGGCCAAACTGTACTACATAGAGAAATCCTGCCTTAAAAAAAATTACAGAGAAGAAAGAAGTAAGCCGGGATCTGGTGGCACAGACCTTTAATTCCAGCATTTGAAAGGCAGAGGCAGGTAGATCTCTGTGAGTTTGAGGCCAGCCTGGTTTACAGAGCGAGTTCCAGGACAGCCTCCAAAGCTACACAGAGAAACCCTGTCTCAAAAAACAAAACAAACAAGTATCTTCTAATGTGCATATGTGATAACCAGCAACCACAACAAATAATTCAATGATCACTTTGGGAACAATAGGCTGTTTGTTTTATTAATTTATTTTATTTTCTAATGATTAATTTATTTTATGTGTGTACACTGAATGTATTATTGTGTGCTATGTGCTTATAGGAGTCTAGAGGTGCCCTCAGAGGCTAGAAGAGGACACTGATTCCCCTGGAGCTGGAGTTAGGATGTGACCCACCCTGTGGGTACTTAGAATTGAACCCAGGTCCTTTGGAAGAATGGCAGGTACTCTTAACTCTTAATCATTTATTTTTTAAATGTACATGTGTCTCTTTGATCACATGTCATGTATTCAGGTGCCTATAGAGGCCAGAAGAGTTTTGAATCCCCTGGAGCTGAATTTACAAGCAGTTTTAGCCCATCTCGTATGGATAATGGGAATAGAACTTTGTTTTCTATAAGAACACAACCATCTGTTAGTGTTTGCCTGGTCCCTAGAGTATTAATTTTGTACTCCTGAAGATCATATGAATTTTAAAATAAGCATGTTTAACCCTTAACATTTTAAAATATGGGCATGCTGGCACCACTTATAATCCCAGCACTTAGGAGGCTGAGTCTGAAGGATTACTGTAAGTTCAAGACCAGCCTATCTATCCTACATTGTGGGTACTAGGGAAGCCAGGATATATAGCAATACCTTGTCTCAAAGAAACTAATGATATTCATTAAAGACAATATAATAAAAATGCAAAAGGACACAAAACATAAATGTTTAACTTGCTTAATTATCAACAAGTCAGCTCCAGCTCCCTGTTTAAGAGGTGAACACCGGCAACCCAGAGCTATCTTAACTATGTCCTTTTTCTTGCTCTGATTTCATTTTTAAATTTACTTTATGTATATGAGTGTTTTGCCTGCATGAATGTCTGTACATCAACATATGTGCCTGATGCCTGCAGAGACAAGCCACCACGTGGGTGCTTGATCTCAAGTCCTCTGCAAGAGCAACAAATGCTCTTAAGCACTGTAGTGGCTTTTCTTGGTTGTCAACTTGACTACATCTGGAATTAACTAAAACCCAAGTGGCTGGGTTCACCATTGAGGGATTTTTTTCTTAAATTGAAGTAAGAAGCCCACTTTTAATCCAGGTCTTTTGAGGTGGATAGATGCAATTTTGATTCAGATCTTCTGAGGTGGGAAGATCCACATTTAATCTGGGTTGTGCCTTCTTCTGGCAGCCTATATACAAGACATGGAAGACGGAAGCTTGAAACGTGCTCTTGCTGGCAAGTCCGTTCATTTACTGGCATTACAGCCTACTTCTTCAGGATTCCAGCATATACTGAAGACCAGTGAGACATCCAGCCTCGTGGACTGAAAAACTACTAGGTTCTTGGATCTTCTGTTAGTAGACAGTCAATGTTGGACTAGCTGGACCACAGCCTGCAAGTCATACTAATACATTCCATCTATGCACCGTCAGTGCAGTTCCTCTAGAGAACCCTGATGAGCACAGCCGCTGAGGCATCTCTCCAGCCTCTCCACCTGTTTTTGAAACAGGGTTTCAATTGTGTAGTCCTAGCAGACCTAGGACTCACTATGTAGACCAGGCTGATCTGGAACTCATAGAAATCCATCTTCCTCTGCCTCCCAAGCACTAATCTCAAAGTTTAACCTTGCTCACTTTTAATTTCATAGGAAGAGAATACAATATGTATTAGTTATTCACCATTATGCCTTATAGATACACCAGTCGTGGTGGTTGTATATGTATCTATAGCTTATGGGTTTGCAGTGCTGTATAGTCCTATAGCTACTAAATAAATCACCTATATCCATTATATTCTTTTTTCCTTGTTTTTAAAGATTTTTGTTATCTTTTTCTAAGACAGGGTTCTCATTTTGTAGCTCTAGCTGGCCTTGAACTCACAGAGATCTGCCTCTGCTCTTGAGTGCTAGATTAAAGGTGTGTACCACCATGCCAGGACATTTATTTTAATTATGTGTGTGTGTGTCTTTGTGGGAGGTATGTATCCCTGGGTTCAAGTGCCACCAGAAGTGTGGCCATATTCCCTGGAGCTGGATATAGCAATGGCTGTGTGCCACCTGGATGTGGGTACTGAGAACTGAACTCAAGTCTTCCACTAGAGCAGCCTATGCTCTTACTCAGCCATCTCTTTAGCCCCATCATTCCACTCTGTTTTTGGGACGGAGTGTTACTAAGTTGCCTTGGCAGGCTTCAACTTGCATCCTTCTGACTCAGCAGGAATTCCCCAACAGTGCCCTGATTATAAAAGAAAAACTGGAGTCACCCGGGAAGAGAGACTCCAGACAGGAATTGCCTCCATCAGAATGGCATGTGGGGACATATATAAATCAAGGGGCAAACCTTTCAAATAGACATATTTGACTGTTGATAGAAAAGGAATTCACAAGACCTGCACCAGCCACATCTTCCCGGAAACTGCATCGTGGCTCGTTAGGATAACCTGAAGAAATCAGCTCCTGATGCTGCAGCAGGGAGGGGAAGAGTAATTCCCCAGTGAATAAGTAGATATGATTTTAAGGAAAGACTCTGCAGGTTGATTTGCTTCTGAGAAACTTGAATTTTCCTAAAATTCAAGCTTAAAAAATAAGTTGCATCAACAGCTACTTAGGGTTAACCAATTGAGAGCAGGACTAATGGTGAGTGGGTGAGGAATTGAAGGGGCTCCATTGATTTATGAAAAACAGGAAAGAGTACAATTTGGATCTGGAAAGATGGCAGTCTTAAGAACAACAGCCCAGAACCTGATCACCACAATCAGAGGTATCACTCACCTTGTATTCATCCAACCAGATGTGAACCACCGGCAGCAGTGAGTTCCTTGACAAGGCTTTCTTGAGTGCGGCATTATTGAAATTCTTACTGTCATGGGAAATTGTCAAATATAGGAAAATGTACACCCTAATACCTGGGGTTAGTCAATAGAATTCAAGTATTGTGTGAACATGCAAAAATATGCATTAAAATAACTTGCTGTCTTCATGTGAGTTATGCAAAACTCTTTTAAAGGCCTTGGGCTAGAAACATGGCTGAAAGGGTTAAAAGCAATTCCCTGTAAGAACAAGGATCTGAGTTGGACTCCTCCAGCAAGAAGCTGGGCATGACGGCACACACCTGCAAACCCAGGGCTAGAGGGGTTGGGAGACGAAGACAGGAGAAAAATAGTGAACTTCAGTTCAGAGGGAAATCTGTCACAAACGAACAAAGGTGAAGCCCGATAGAGGAGGACAGCTGGCATCCTCCTGACTTCTGAATGCACATACATGTACCTGCACACACATGTGTGTATATACACTCATACATACACATCAAACATAAAAGTTTCCATTTCATCACTGTAAATGATGCCGTAGAGGGGCTGGTGAGATGCTTTAGTGAGTAGAGGTGCCTGCCACCAAGTTTGACCACCTGAGTTTCATCCTAGGACCCCAAAGAGGAGGGCTGGAACTGACTCTTGTAGGTTGTTCTGTGACTTCAATACATGTGCTGTGGAAATGCGTGCCTCTCCTCCATGTACACACACACAAATTCATCTTCAAAAACATTGCATCTATCTGTTTGGTAGTGCACATGCCACAGTGGCGGTCAGAGAACAACTTTGAAGGACTTGGCTCCCTTGCCCTGTGGCTCTCAGGAATCTAACTTGGGTCATCTGGTTTAGTAGCAAATGCCTTAACCCACTAAGTAACTCACCAGCCCCCATGTGGTATATTTGCTGGAGCCATTCTGTTTCCTGGATTCCAGTAACACCAACATGGCCTGGAAACTTGATAAAAATGAAAACCCACGGGCCACTGATCTAGGAAGTGTGGTTGGAGCCAAGCCTTCTGCATTTTCATAGGCTCTTCATAAGGTTCAAATGCACACTCAGATTTTATGACCCTCTGTTGGCAAACATTTCTGGGGAAATTCACGTAAGCATTGTGGAACAGTAATGGGAAGTTACCATCCTCCCTGAAACACTCTGCGTGGGATTGAGAATATAGCTCATTTGGTATAGTGTTTTTCTGACATACTCAGAGTCCTGAGTTCAAGTCCTAGCACTACATCCACCACTGGCCATGGTGGTCCACAAACTGCAAGTGGAGCACTCAGGCGGTGGAAATAGCATGAGAAGTTCAAGGCCACCCTGGCTACAGGGAATTCTGACTTAGAGAAACTCACAGAATATCTCAAAACAATCCTTCACATTCCTTGTCTGGGAGACACAGAATAAAATCCTTAGCCCAGAAGTCCACGGTTAGGTTCTTTTATCAGCTTATCCAATGGTCTGGCCGCCTGTGTCCTGTCTGGAAATTGTGACCTAGAAGTTGTTGATATAGATTTCTGCTCTATGTTTCATCATACAGCAAGAGCTGACAGATACAAGTCATCTATGTTCCAGTCTTCTTTTTAAAAGAAAAACTGAGGAAATTTGAAAAGCTGTTACACTGTTAATATATTTCACAGTTTTATAATTACCACGAATACTTATTTTTCCATCTTGTAAATTATTCTTTATATCTGAGTGTTTTGTCTGCATGTAGGTCTGTGTAACATATGTGTGGAGTGTGTTGTGTCTGCAAAGGTCAGGAGAGGTCGCTGGATCCCCGGAACTGGACTTTCAGTTAGTAGTGAGCTGCC